CCGAAGGGGTTACGCCTGTTGCCGAATTTGGCCAGGACAGCAATCAGCATACGTCAGAGGAGAGCCGGGTTTTGGGGTGGTGATGTGCTTAATGTCAGCCACGGTCTTTAATGGCCGGACTGCCTACAGAGGGTGCGTTGGGATTTAAACAGATTTGCTCAATACTTCTGGAGCAAACATGGCTTGATTTCTGGGCTGACATCCCTAGCAGTCTAGCCCACTTAATCAAACGAATTCCCCAGGATTTCTGTGTGTGCTTTTGTTGATCTAAATAACAAGTGATTGGTAAGTTTTTTTTTTTTTTTAAATTATTAATAAAGCTCCCATGGAAATTGAGCTATTTAAGCCTTTGTTTGCTTGCTAGATTCTTTTCCAGCTTCAAAACCACTAAAATATGTTTAATTGCCCAGCTCCAGATATTAAACTTCTGCTTCCTAGAAAATAATGTCTAGAAATGATAATAACAGTCCTTGATGTGCCAACACTTCTTTTTTTTTGGTGTTTTTTTTGTTTTTTTTTTTTTTTTTCTTCTAGACCAGCAGCTGAGAGTTTAAGTGAGAACACTTTGGCAGAAGTACCACAGATCTAAAAAGTAACTAGATTCAAGCACGGCAAGAAATAGGTTATGTATAAATCTTGCTGTTCACAGACAAAAATATTTTGGAAATGTTGCTGACATTGTGATATAGCTGAGGTTAACAGTGTATTAGATGTTAATGTCACCAGGCTGTTTTATTTTCCACCGCAGCCCTTACCATTTCAAATACCTCTGGGATAAATAAAGATCTATATTACATTAACTTAAAAAATAAAGTCATGGTGCTACTATTATTACGACTTCCACAGAGATGTCCAAATGGAGCCCCTTTTTCCTTCTGATTCTCCAGGGTAGGCAGCTCCAAAATGCCCAGCAACAGGGCCTCTGCCTTAGGGATCTGCATCTAAATAGGGCATTTCAAAAGAATATTTCCACTCCGTGTGCCCCAAATCATTTGGCCTTGTGTAAGGACATGAGGCTAGAACCCAACCTTCTTCCATCACTACTGGATCATCCCTTTCCTAACAACTCACTCTTCATTGCTGAATGTATTCTTACAGCATAATTTTTCTTGTTTCACATAGTTATTATTTCTATGACTCTATTCAAACAAGAAGATAAAGTATTTCTTCCGCACACCACCGAGGCAAATCTATTGTACTATTTCGGCTTAAACCCGACATGTGAAGGGGGCACCACAGATATGAAGATGTGTTTTGGAAAGCAATGTCACTATTAACATTAAGGTTGGTAGAATTGCTTGAAAAGGCTCCCTGCCACCTGTGTTAGAGTGGGTGTTTTTATCTGTAAGTGACTTTTTTTTTCACTAAGAAATACTTTCTATAGGCAGATGGCAGATTGTAATTGGGGATATGAGTCAGAATTTAGCCTAAGCAATACTGACCCAAATGAAAACTTGATTAGACTGCTGGAGTACTACAAATTGTCAGTTATTTAAGAAGGTTTCTCAAATAAAAATAAATTTAACATATGGGTCAATCTGTTCCATCCCAGTTGGAGACATCACTTCCTATCC